AAAGAACCCGTTGACACTGGAAACAATTGGCAGAGGGGTGTGTTTATACAGAAAAAATGTTTAAGTCAACTCCTTTTCAGCAGCAGCGCTGTCTGGATCTGCACAGAAAGGGAAAACTGTGTTTCCAGCAGATAGATACACCAGCTTGATCCATTTCATGGTAGCTAAACAGGTGTGTTATTGATTTGGATCCCCAGAATGCAACGTCCTGGGACAGCCCAGCTCTCATAAAAGTGACTAAAATGACACAGGTCTGCTTGGATTACTAACAGTAATGTTTCTGTTCCTAGATTATTTCCACACTATTACACTTGAAAGCAGATGTCAGCAGCTTTTTTATTACAAAGTTAGTCATAAGGACTAACCGTGGTCCCCAGTAAAGCCAGGCAATAATCCTGTGCAGGTAATGTGGCCCTGAGGAGCTGCTGGCTGATGTTTCAGCAGCTTGTGCACATTTCCAGGCACCAGCTGCTGAGGTCCTACGCAGACCCAAATCCCACAGTTCATTTTTCCAGGCCGTGCTGAGTGCGCACATGCACCCCTTGCTCTATAGACCAACAAATATTTAGCATGTGCTGAAGTCCTACAGCATTTTCTTGCTGTTTGAGAAGAGGAGAGCAGGCAGCTAAGCTTGGGTAAGGCACAATATTGGCTTAGATAGTCTGTGGCTCTGACCCCTCTTGTTGCTAACTTGCCTGACTTGAGTGTCTTTAGATCCTTTAGTGTCTCATTCCAGTGTCAGCACAGGATAGAGCCGGCTCTCTGCAGAGGGAACTTCTGGCTCTGTGGCTTCCCTATGTTCACCAATCAGTTCCTTCTGTTCCTCTGGCACTTGGCTCACAGGCTGGGGACAGCAGGGGAGACACGACATTCCCAGTGTTTCCCAGGCCTGTCTTATTAAGTCTGAGAGCATGTCCTGTTGCTTTCTCCTCCCTTTCAAGGCCTTGTTCCTGCTCTCCATCACGAGTCTACAATGACAAGGGCACTAACTAAGGGAAATTCCTAGCATAGCCTACATAATCCCAGCTGGATAGAAGATGGCAACTGCACAACCTGCTCTTCCACAGCATGACTACATCGAGTCCCATACTGCCTGTGCCCATGGGACTGCAGTTCAATGACTGAGCATGGTCCTGGTTTCAGAGCACCATCATTTTCACCACAAGGTCTAAAACATACCCATGGAGCTGGAGCAAAGCTTTTGGTTATTGACAGCAACGGGAATAATGAATTGTGGCAAAGGGAAATTATTGAAAAATCAGCAGAAGACTTGAGTCTCGTCTCATCAGTTCCATGGCCACCACATGACACGACAGAGGACAGAGGCTGGCTGGGGCCTCAGTCCCACCAGGAAGTCATGTGGGACATTGCTGTGGGTTCCAGTAACAACAGAACACAATATTCCCTAAGACCTTGGCCTTGATCCCAGCATGCATGAAGGGATTGGTGGGTTCAGTGACTAACACTTAGAAGTTAGCTAAAGGCTTGAGCAGCAGGGACTGATACCACCCACTGGAGGATGAGATCCACAAATTAGATTTTTTACTACAAAGTAAACCATAAGGAGCTGTTGGGACATCCAAATACTGGAATTGTTCCAGTAGAATAGAAGGGTAGAAGTTTAAAATATGTGGTGAACATTACCTGATAGTCCCATTTGAATGCCAGCTCAAAGGCTTCAGAGGCCGCATCTTGCAGAGGTTCACATGAGCAAAATGCATTAACTGGCTACATTTCCCCTGTCTCTACAAAAAATGGGGGATATATTAAGCTCTGGTTGGTGTGTGCTGGTCAGTGTCCTGCTTTCAGGCACATATTTCGTGCTGTCCTACCATACCTGCTTTCTAACATTCTTAAATCTCCACTGACCGCTCATTTTATTATCTTCCAAATTTATGAACTTAAGCAATTTACCTCTAATTTTTACTGTTTGGTATAGAATTCCCTTGGGCTGAAAATCCCAGCAGTCCCAGAGGTGAGTTGCCCCAGAACCTTCCTCCCCTCCACACGTGTATCTGCAGAATGTCTTCTGTTTGAAAACACTTTTCTCTCCTCCCGCGTGACTGACCCTGTAAGTGGTGAGAGACCCCAATCACCTACATCAAAGTGGAATGCTGAGGGGTTTACATCAGGGTTCAGTGAAACAGGAGACAGGAGAGCTCCCAGGTTCCTTCTCAGATAAGAAACAACAGTAGCACCCCAGGGGCAAGTGTGGTGCTACATCCCAGAAGGTGTTGGCCCCAGCAATCCTTGTCGAAAAAAACTATTTCTAAGGTGACAAGACCTGTGTGACTGAGCTGACAATGGTTCAACCAGCCCACCTGGCTATCCAGCTGCTGACCTTCCAAAAAACTTCTGCAATTCTTGTCCAAGCAGTTAAACTTGAAACAACACGGATGTCTCTGAAGAGAGGCCCAGAGGTCACAGGAGGTCACTGTGGTATGGTGGAAATCAGAGACTTTTTATGCTGCTTGTACTAAGGGAAAGCTCAACCCTTACTTAGACTATGCCATTTCTTACAAAAGCAGATTTAGAGGATGAGATGGAGAAGGCAAGAATGGAGGCACTGTGGGAGAAAAGCTGACACCATGGAATGACCACGGACTGGGGGCAGGGGAAGCCATGGCAATGGGAAGGTGTGTTACAGCAGAGACCATGCAGGAATCCAACCCCTAGGAAATCAGGTTTGTGTAGCTCTGCTGTTCAGACACCAGCTCCTCCCTCTCTCTTGAAGCCAGAGCAGCTCAAGTTTTTCTGGGTCATAGTGTCAGTCAGTTCCAGGGCAAAACAAAAAAAAGTGAGTCTGAAACAGGCAAAGTGCCTCTCTCAGTCACAGAGACCCTGATCTGGGAACTGCTTAAATCCCACTGGTATCAACAGGAGCCAGCTACCTAGAGACTTCTGAGTATCTGACCCTCAGCCATTTATTTCTCTGTTGCACTTGCTGGGCTTGTGTCTCTCTGAGTAGGGAATATGCATGAGGAGCCCATCTGAATGCTGCTTGGAAGTGAGGAAGTGATCCCCTATGGAAAGGGGAGATCTGGCTCCTCCTGCTCTTCTTTTCAGAGAGTTCTCAGAGTCTAGACACCACAGTATGGTGGTAGGGGGATTTTTATTGGGAAAAGGGGGAAAAAAGGTTATATTCATTATGTATAGATTCTCTTCTTTAATCTAGCTCAAAGACATCATCCCTCTATGTAGTCATACTGGACCAAGTGTTGACAGCACTCACCACCCTCTCCTCCTGCAGGTAGAAGAGGCTCCAAATTACATGCAAAAATAAGAACAACAGATTCCTTCAGAAGGCACAATTGTAAAAAAAGAGATTTTATTTGTAAAGCATTTTTGAGAAAATATTAAATATATTTCGCATGAACAATCCCAGGATTCCTGCTGTACATGGTTTTTATTTAACATTATTTACAAGGACACCAGAAAGGTTTAATGACAATAAGAATTTTCTATTCAAAGTAGATGCCTCAAAACAGAAAGGAAACAGTATTTACATAAGCAAGAGCACTCTTTTGTATTTTCAACACAGCTCACTGGAGAACTTGAATTTACTGACAGACTACATTGTGGAGTGACTACTCAGTGAATATAGCATCAGAGCTAGCTATATTTGGAACCCACATAAAATAAATTTAACAAATACTAATCACACCGACTTTCCATCAGTGAGGTGGGCTGTGGCCCCATATCCCAGTCCTGAGCAGAAGGACAGCCAAGTTGGCACTACACGGAAGGAAAAGGAGAGCAAAGCTTGCAAAACCCTGTTTCACAGGTCCCTGCAAATAAAAATAACATTCCAGACAGGAACATAAACCACCAGCACAACTTCGTGTCTGAAGACATCTTAAAGTGCTCACACAATCTTCCCTTCTCCACCAGCACAGCCCACTGGCCTCACAAGCAGTGCTGCTGCCAAGCCAAGGACAGAGGAGCAAGACTGGAGGGCACTTCCCTCAGCAGGGTCATGATACAGCCTGAACTAATCAGCCTTTCTGCAGTGAGGCAGCACATGAGATGGCTTCACCCATCTGCTTGCCAGGGTCCTCTTCAGGGTTCTTCAAGGAGCTGAACTGCTGCCCAGGAAAGGAGGTATAAAAAAAAGGAACATTGGCTGTGCCCAGAGGAGAGCAGAGCTGCTCGGGCACCACCACCTTTGTCTGCTGAGGTCCTTTGCCTGCTGAGGTCCCAAAATGTGCTACATTTGTAGGCACCTCCTTTCTCTAACCTGTGCCAACTAACCAGAGCATAATCCCCCAAAACGAAGGCCCTGAACTGTTCAGGAGGTGTGAGCCAGGGCCTTGACACCACAGGATATTCAGTGCCTCAACAGGAGTGCCCAGCACAGGCATATTGACAAAATACACAGGCACAGGGAGAACTGGCTTGAAATGAAACACATAAATCCTACTGAAAATATGTACAGCAATATATTGCCCTTTGTCGTTTGTTCAGCACATTCCAAGCAGGAAAAATTACACCACAGGATAAACAGACTGTGACTTCATCAAGACTGCAGCTAAGAGTGGTGAAAACAGGTAAAGGCCATTTCTTTTAATTGCTCTAAAGCACAAGGTCTGCTCCAGTGGCACAGGAGCCTTCAGGTTGCTTCTACTGGGCTCTGCCTTGGGATTATCAAGAGTAAGGTAAAATTGCACTACGTGACACACCATTGACCAGCCAACCATATTTGCCAGGCAAAAATAGATTAATAAAATCTTTTGGCTCAAATTAACCTGTCTAGTAACGTGTTTTGGCTATGCTGTTAAACCACATCTGTATTTAGCGTGATTTACATTTGTCACAGAAAGACAGCTGCTTCTTCATAGCCCGACAATTAAAGAAACCTTGAATTCAGAAGCCTCCAGATCAATTTGCTGCTCCATCAGAGGCTTTTACAGCAAGTCCATATAACCCAGATGCATCCAATTTTTCTTCAAACTTCCAACCAACCTCTGTATGGTAGGACACTAATTATCCTGGGCTTGTTCTGCAGCCACTGGAGAGAAAGAGGCTTCTTTATATGGTGATACAAACCTCAGGGCAGGTGAATCACCCTTGGCCAAATGCATAAAGCCCAACTCTGGGCTCAGCTGAGCATTCAGGTAACCTGCCACAGGTACTAAGTTCAGTCACTCTGTTTGCTTTGTCATCTAAATAAAAGAAAGTATTGGGTAGTTTGGATCCTGTCTCTCTAGAAAATCAATGTTGGGAGTCATTGTAATATCTCTAGGGGACAGACTGAACAGAGGTTTCTCTGCTCCTCACTCTACCACTATGGGGAAAATTCCCCACTCCATCCCTGCTAAAAGGATGATTCACTGGAGGTTTTTAGGAGCTCAGGAATGTGGTGATGGACATTGGGAAGGAGCAGGTAGAATTAAATTAAGTTAATATAAACAATTGACATAGAATTTTAAGACAAATATATTAATTTTCTGCCTTATTCCAAAAATGAAACATTGTGCGTCTTATAAGTGCTTCTAGAGAAAATTTCCCATGAGTCCTGTGGTTCAACCAAGTATTTACCCCACCTTTGCTTCATGTAGATGTAAAATACTATTGCCAGAAGAATCAGCACTAAGGCAACTCCAAGTAAAACTCCGAGGACAATCACTGCTACTCTCCAGCCAGAACTGTTGTCGGTTGGTGACTGAACAGACAGGGCTGAAATTAAAAACACAATTTAGAAATGTTAGCTAGAAACAGTAAAAAGTGGGTGTAAGAAAGCTTGGAGCTCTATGTGACAGCTGTGCTTTACTGTTTGGCAGCTTTGAAACTTTTGAATAATGTTAATAATGGGGTTTGTATGTAGTAAAGATTTGCTGACTAGAAAATTCTATGGACCCTTCTCTCTCTGAGGGTTCTTGTGATCTCTTGGTGACATCTATAAACAGCAGCTCTAAGGATTTCTGGGAGAACTCCAATCTGTACCTCAACAAGGAGTCACTCCAAGGTGTGAAAAGGGCCATGAAATGGAACTGTACATAATTTAACCCTCAGAGTCCTCCTTATACTTTCCTTATACACTCCTGATACAAGCAACTTTGTGAAATGGATGGGGAGCTGGTCTGCCAGCTGTACTCACACCTACCCTTGTCTTGCTCCACAAGACAGTCCACTGAAACCAAAATCTCTGAACTGAAAGACCAAAACCAGAAAGATTCCTGATTGCCATATAAAGGCAATGGAAGGCCTGTAGCACATAAGCATGTGTGGTAAAGGTGTGTGTAATAATGGTGGAAAGGCACACAGACTGTGTTATAGTGCTGGTCAGCACTTACAAAGAGAAGGTTTTTGACTGTGGCAGGAGGAGCCTCTGTGTTGCATGAAAAGCCCCTGAGCTATAGAAGCTCAAGGCAATAAGCACATTACCACAACCATGAGCACAATAGACACTATTTTGCATATGTATCTTTCTGCACAATTTGTCCTTTCCCTCTAGGCCTCCCTGCATCTCTGCAGTACTTTCGTGTTGCTAAATCCACAACTCCTCTGGGCAGGGAAGCAGGGGCCAAAGGTTTTCAAGGGTTGCCTAAAAAAAGGGGTGAATCCTTCCATCACCTCTCTATCCAGGGAGGAGTATTGCAGGTGCCACTACACAAGAAGTCTCCTCATCCCCACCTCCATTAAAAGCCAATCTTTCAGGATCAGCATGGAGGGTACAAAAAGCTCACCTAACCCTCCTTCTATGTGAAGAGAACCCATCCTTCAAGTCTGGAACTGGGTATGTGTAGTGACACTTTAAAACAGATCCATTATCTACATGATAGCAGGACTATGTGTTCTGCGAATGTTTAAAAAGATTATCTGAGGTACTTGAATCTCTTAAAAAAAAGAAGATAATTTATCAGCTTTTGTGAAGAGAAGGAGATCTGACCCTTTAGACCCCACACCATCACAGAGAAGCTGTTTCAACATCACTTACATTGTACATTTACTTCAGTTTCGTCCCCAAACTTGCTCTTTAATATTTGACTTAGGTGGGTCTGTATAACATTCACATCTACGGGTTCTTCTTTTGGCAGCAGAGAAATAAAATCAGCAATCACACTCCCGGGTCTGAACCCAAGCACAATGATGTCAAAGTGTTCATCCTTCAGTTGGAGGCGCATTTCTGTAACAACCTGCACAAATTGAAGGGGATATTTATTCCATGTGTCACTCAACTGAGGCAGAGCAGGAGTGCACACATCCTACACATATCAGGATATTCATTTTGTTTCAGGATAATTGCCTTGGATTAACAAACAAAAAACTTACTGAAGGAGGATTCCGGAACAATGCATGACCTGTGATTGAAAGTATAAAATCTAAGTTTGACTTCCCAAGCACCAATCTGTTTAGGTTGTTATCAATGAATAATGCATTGAAACCAGTTGTCCTCCTCCACAAACCCATGTGAGACCCCGACTGCACAAAATTTGGAACCTACAAAGTGCACCTAATAAGTGGACCTAATTTCTAAAGTTATCTTCAGTGTCCCCCAACATTTTTAACACGTTCAACTAAACTTCAAGCATGGTCCTGCACACACTACCACAGAACTTGATGTGAGAGGTATAAAACATATTTTTAATCAAAATCATGATGTTACAGAATAACTATGAGAAGAGAGACAAGGGTGTGATTTGCCTCTCAGTCATTTTGACATAAACCAAGTGTAATCCCATTACACCAAGCAAAATCAAATCAACTGCACTGATGTCTCTGAAAGTACAGCTTTGCCCAGTGCTTTATTGTGGATACAGAACAAGAACAAGCAGTCCCTTCTGCTAAGTACGACTGGTTGAAATGTTTCTGTCAGGACTGTTCATGTTACAGAAAATCAGTTGTTTGGTTCAACCCAGTAAGAGAAGTTATCTTCTCGCTGTGGATAAATATGGTATTTTACCTGAAAAGTCTGAAAGATTACTACTTTCCACAGATGGTAACAAACCTGTTTCTGAGTCACTGCCCAGTTATCTACTTCCACCTTTCTCTGTGGGATAAACCCCCACCCCAAACTACATGTTGCATTAAGTTCTTTGGCCAGAAACTCCAAAAATACTTTTCTTTCCCTCACCACGATGAGCAGTCTAGATAGGAAACTCGACCTATGCAGGTGAAAGTGTAAAATTTCAAAACTACAACTCAGGAGCACTGTGGAATTTAAAATAAATAGTTCAACATCCAAACTGAAAAAAAAAAAATAACACAGAAATTGACTGTGTTTCCAGTCATGTTAGAACATCCTCCCTTTGATTTTGCCTTTTTCAAAGAAAAGCTGACACGTGGCACAAGGGGAAAGCTTATTAAAAACCTGTAAAGGGATTCCTGTTGCATTCAGTCATGTTGGAGGAAGCCTTTTAAATCCACTTTTAAATCTTCTATCCTTGAAAGGGAGATGCTAGCAGTCATAAGACAAGGTTACCCTTGAGTTGGCGTGGTGAGAACAAATTAATTACCGCTTATGAAATCTGTGGAGATTCTTAGCTAAAGGGTATGATCATCACACTAAAAATAATCTTCTGTATTAGTTATTTAAAGAAGTCTACCCCAATCTTACAGTAGTTCTACCTTTCCAGCAGGCTTATGTACATCAGGTTTCCTGAGAGGTGTTTAAGTTGTTAGTCCTTTTCTTTAACATGCTGCTGAAGGCAGCTGAGTGGCAGACTACTGCTTCTGCCTGTCAGCTTTACCAGCTTTAAGGTGCCACTTTTTCTCCTCATTCCCCCTCTGATATGGACCCTTTGATACCTTCTCCAGTCCTGCAGCCACTACCATGAAGCAAATTGCCAATGATCATGACTCACAGTAGATGCTTGTAAAGGCCCCATATTTCCAAGTATGTGTTAAAATGTTATTTTTGAGTGCTATTCTTTTTTTCCATCTCCACGGGCATAGATTTAGTAAGGTGGGAGAAAATAAACAGAGCAGGATGTTCCCTGTACTTATAAAAATAGAATTTTAAAGTGCCTTTCACTACATAATTCTAATTTGAGGATGACTTAGGGAACATACCCCTCCTCACTGGGCAACAAGCTGTCTCTCCTTGTGCTTCCTGTACAGTTTTATCAAGGAGGGATTATCTTTTTCACCTGTCACAGTCTTGATTTAACAATGAATTCAGGAGACTGAGGTTGCTCATAGCAGACCTTTTCTTAGTTCATTCATGTTGACAGAGAAGATTGATCAACTTACGTCTGTTTTGAAACTCTCAGCCATCGCTTTGTATTCTGCACTATCAGAGTTATAAAGTGCATTGTTAAATGTCTGGTTTTTTAACAAAATCCTGCAGGCAAATGCTTGGTTACCTGGGGGGGGAAAAAAAAGAAACAATCAGGTGAATCCCAGGATGTCTCTCCACAATTGCTTTTTGGACTTTATTATCTCGTATGTTTATAATACTCATTGATAAACACAGAAACAAATGAAATAATAAGAAGGTGTATCGTGTGTGTCTAATGCACTGGCTTTGGAACCTTCAGAGTTGAATCTCTTCAGGTTTGTCAGCCATCACAATCCTCACAACTTGTTCATCATTCCTGTATTATTCAGGGTGCATCCCACTCCCTAATTCAACAGCCACTCTCCCATTGATTTCAGCAGAAGTAACATCAGTCTGCTGGATTCTGCAAGGCACAGAGTGTGTTTAAATCCTCCTGAGTAGGTGGATGAGCCCCAAGCCAAAAGAAGAAAGCTTTACATAGAAAAGACCAGGATAAAAATAGAGCTGGAAGCTGACACTGAAGTTTGATGAAAGCAGCTTCTTTACCAAAGAAGTGTGAACTTCAGATGCTGTGTGACTTAACATAATAAAGCAGATGGCAAAATACTCAGGAAAGATACTATATTGTGAAATAATATCCCATAGTTACGAACAAACAAATGTTAAAATTCTATAAACTTACCAGAGCATACAACACCTTTCAAGTCAGAACAGCCAGTATTTTCTGGTAAACAGAACTCAGCTTGGCTGAAGCAGGAAACAGGATCTGGGAAATAAGTTTAAAAATCAAGATAATCGCTTTCTGTGTGTGTGTGGTTGTTGCCAATAAGAAAATTATGGAATAGATGAAAGTGTTTTATCATGGCCAAGGAATCACCTAAGCAGCAGTTCCTTTGGCCCAGTGAGAACTTAGAACTGCAAATTATAAAAATGGAGCACATCAAAAGAGAGGCAGGTGGTGGGTGGGCAGGTGGTATTTGAGAGCTTTACTGAAATAGTGTTGAGAGCCCTGATTTCTTATGAGAGCTAAAGATACAGGTTGTACTGTTACGTGCTTGTACAACTCAGGTAAACCAGATAGAGTTTTCAGCAGTAAAAGTCATCTGGAATTTAATTTGGAAACAATTCGGACCATGGAGTCTCAAAACCTCAGAATGCCTGTCTGGACTGGCTAATCTGAATTATTTATAGTGGGTCAAAACAGCAGTAAAGGGTGGCACAACAGGTTTTATGTGGTTAACTCATTGGGTATAGCTCCAGCTCTCCTCACAGAATTGAGCATAATCTTTAACTTCACATGCAATACAAATGACTTGGTCTTTACTGAACTTTTCTGGTAGGGCAGATGGATCCAGATTACAAAAGGAACCTTTTTTTTTTTTTTTTTTAAATTAGGGAAACTAATAAATGAAAGCCAGAGTACTGAAGTATTGAAAGATTCCAATGGAAATTATGATGACAGTTCCTTGGCTCTGTGATCCTAAAGACTAAGATAGAGGGTAAGTCCATTAGAAGGAACCCCCCAGTTAACTGCCAGAATAATTGCCCTAGAGAGGTTTTGAGAATAATCAGACAATCCACTAGAGAACTTAAAAAAGGGGTTGCAACAGGGACAGTTATATGTTAGAGGTCAAGAAATGCTGGAAGAAAGTAATGATTGCCAAAAGTCAAGTTAGATCTTTCAAGGGATATTAAAAGAAATTGTGAACATTTTCTCAGCCACTGGGAAAATATGATAAAGTGCAGTACAGTTTTATCAAACGTGGATCATGCCAAAAATAACCTGGTAGCTTCCTTTGATGGGCTGACTTTTAGATCTCTTCCAATGAAAGAAAAGCAATATTATACAGTGCCAAGTGGTAATTTTTTTAGTGGAAAAAGGTTTGTCTAAAGGAATTGGCTGAAGGGGAGATGGCAATGGGGAGCTTTAAAAGCAGAAACCTTGATTTAGAGGGATATGATGTGTTGTGTTCCTTGAGAATCAGTTTTAGCATGGAGACACAATTAGACAGTCTGTCTTAATGTCTGTATCCTAGGGAGAAATTAAAAAGACAACTGTGACAATTAAGGACTGTCTGCATTCACAAAGGCACGTGCAACCTGAACTTCACATTACCAGAATATTTTCTGTTAAATTTGCAGCCAAAATATCTTGACTTTAGTACAGAATTTTCTGGCTCAACAACACAGCATGGTCAGAAATTTTACAGAGCCAGCACTTGCTCTCGCAAACGGCTGTTTAATCAAAGTAGTCCTGTGAGTCAAATAAATAAAGAAGACTTACAGGAATAAGAGTCTATGAGATCAAATCCAGATGATACTGTAACATGATATTGTGTGTGCATTTTAATTAAAAAGAGATTATGGGTTGATTGAGGAAGTACCTGTTTGGACAGTAACTGAAGTCCGGTTATTCTCAGCACAGGATGACACTCCCACGTATATGGTGTACTCATGGGCAGGAAGTAGTTGTTTAAACACAGCTTTTGTCTCTTTTGTGGTAGTTTTATTTATCTCCTGCTTTCCATCCACGAGGGAGATGCTGTAGAGGCTGCCTGTGCTGCCACCGGTCCAGCTGAGTTGTATTTCTTCCCCAGTCACGTTCTGAATTTCGATGGACACTGGCACTGCAAAGTGAAAATGTTTCATAAAACAGAGGGTGGTTCATCTCCCTTCTACACTTCTACACATTTAATATTGAAGAAAAAAAAACAATTACACCAATATAAATTTTTGTGAGTTTTCTTGGAGCTGATTTCAATTTTTCACCTCGCTCTCCCACAAGAGCAGAAATAAACTCTTTGCTCTATAAATGTAAATCATACATCAATATACTTTGTTTGATGGCTCCAAAACACAAATGGGTAACATTCTACTTGTTTCTAATCTTTCTAACTGCAGGCAAGGTGTGGTAAATGGTTAGACTTGAATAGTGTTAGTTTAAGATGGTGAAGAAGTGATGAGGCTGGATGGGAAAAATATGAGTGTTCTGATGTGGACTGCTATTTGACTCATACTGATATCATCAGGTGATGGATTACTAAAATGCCACCAGAAAATCCTAAATTCAGAGCAGTAGGGAGGCATTTAATAAAGGTGCTTCATGGTAAGATTAAGAAAAACCACCTTTGACAGTAGTTTATTACTGTAGGTAAGCACCCAGGGGCTCAGGAGAGCTTTGCCAAGGAGTGGAAACTTGACTGATATATGTATAATTATGTATTTTCAGTGGTTCTATCAAGCTTCCCTTTCTGAAGTCATATCCTGGGATTTTACCTCACAGCTGATATAACTGATGAACAAGAACGTTGTATCTGATTGGATAATTTTTATTCTACAATTCAATATCAAATATTTACTTACTGCAAGGTGGTGATGGTAACGTGGTAGTGAAAACGGAATTAGACGTTGATCCTGTAAATCCAATTGTTTCTTTTTCTGGAGGGACTGTAGTTGTCAGTGCTGTAACTCCAGTTGTTTCATTTTGTGGAGGGTTTGTAGTTGTGAATTCTGTTAATCCAGTTGTATCATTTTGTGGAGGAACTGTAGTTGTCAGAGCTGTAACTCCATTTGTTTCATTTTCTGGAGGGACTGTAGTTGTCAGTGCTGTAACTCTAGTTGTTTCATTTTCTGGAGGGATTGTAGTTGTCAGTGCTGTAACTCCAGTTGTTTCATTTTCTGGAGGGACTGTAGTTGTCAGTTCTGTAACTCCAGCTGTATAATTTTCTGGAGGGACTG